GCGGCGGGGTACATAGAAGGGGGAAGGGGGGCAGTGCCGGAAAAGAGTGCGCGTACGATGAAGGACGTTTGCTTTGAATAAAGAAAAAAAAGAAACAATTTTTGTAGTGGGAGGTGTATTGGATCGAGAGGTGGGGAACATTCTCCGAGACCAGTGGACGAGGTGGGTGGCGGGGTGGTGGGGCCTCGAGGGGGTGGGGCAAAGGGGGATCCTCTATTCATAGGAATGACTCACGTTCGAGATGACGACGTGAATAGCCCCGGCTGAATTTGCGCACAACTCCAACTAATTTTTCTCTCCACTTTAACATTTTCTCTTTTGTCTCTGAGTCTGGGTTAAAAGGGGGGCGGAAAGGGGGGCGGAGGGGGCGTTGAAGTTTTTGGAAAAATTGGGGTGTGAGTAATCTCGAGTTAATTCCGGTGCTGATGTTGCGTAGATTTTTTTTTGACGGGCGGCGAGGGGGTGGGGCTGAAGGGGAGGGCACACCCGCTTTGGAATTTTTGGGGATTGCGGGATGAATTTTTTTTTGTACGGAAAATTAACGGAAACTGCGGGAATCGGAACTGAATTTGGAGTTTACATTGAGAAATCTTCTGGGGGGATTTTTCCGAATGGTTTTCCTGGAAATTTTCCCCTCCAATTGGGAAAAGTCCTTCTGCACCTGCGCGCGGGGTGGAGTTTTCCCTTGGAACTGGTCCGTATATTCGAGGGAAAAATTCCCAGAATTTCCCAGTTCCTAGAATGGCAGATTTCCTTTTTTTTTTTTTGGTAATAAAAAAAATGTCTGCCCTTCAATGATGGGACAAGAATTTTCCCGAGGGTTTCTGATTTAATGGACTGCCTAATGGACTGGCTTTGTCGAGTCTGAGTCATCCCGGGATTACCATCGACAATAAAAATAATTTTCACCGAGTAAATGCTGCTCAGACAGCCAAATAATTTCCCCGGAAAAATCCCTCAATTCTCAGAACAATTGTCCATCTAAATTTATCTCTTATCCCTCAAAAATAGTTCTCTCCACTCCCTAAGAATTGAGAAAATTCTCAAGAATTTTCCAAAGAATTTTCCAAAGAATTTTCAAAATTTCGAATTATGTCATTTTATCGCAATTACTCATCACAGGCAATTGAATAATAATTAATCACGTGGCACGTGACCAAAAAGTCATGCTATCGTTATCAGAAACGATTCTTTCGATTTTTTAAAATTGAATTGATTAATCGATACGGGGTTGACGCCAAGATGATGCCATTGGTGATTGTGCAATGGCGTCTTGTCACTCGTAACGATTTGACCCCTAGGGGTGGATTTTTTTTTTGTCATTAGATGGGCAATAGTTGGCTGAGGAGATGCATATCAGACGGTCCAATGGCGTCTGGTCTCTGAGTCATCGTTGAATATCGATGCGCATCTCGATTGACGATTAAATATCAAAATTAGATCGTTACGCAACATTGAATTTTGACATAACGCGCATATGTTCTGGTAAACACAGGGGGTTGAGTTTATTTTGCCGGCGGTAAATTTTATTCTGGTGATGAGTCAGAGAACTGGCTTTTCACTGGCCCTCGGTCGTGTCCCGGTTCTTTTTTTCCTTTTTTTTTTTCGCCCCTTTTCAAGTGACTTGGCACACGATTTTGAATTTGCCGACGATTTCGGACGGTTTTAGGGCACCCGACACCTGTCCCACGATTACACATAACTTTTCAGGTATTTTTCTTTATTTTTTTAACCACGATGAGTTGTTGCCTGCACTTTCATCCGCTCTCACGGCTTTCCATTTGAAATTGAAAGGGCTTTCGATGACATTTCACCGTGTATTTTTATCATTTCTGATTCGCGAGATATCCGCTGCCAAACATTGCAAAAAAAATTTCCATTTTCAATTGATTCAATATCAAAAAATAAAATTCGTTAGCAAAAGGTTCGTCACGTAATATTCAGCCCAGTGAAGGGATTTTTTTTTTATTTCCGGTGTGGCTTATCAACACTTCCGCTACATTAGGCGATCCATGGGGCATGGGAAATGAGGGGGTCCTTATCAATTCTCAAGCACAATGCGCCCCATTGTTCAGCCCAAACAAAACCAGATAATCATTCACATCATCTTCCACTTATTTTTCTCTCAACTGAAAAAAATAAAAAGAGATAAATTTATAACCCGGGGAGACGAACGTGTCGCAATGTGATTATCATAATTCACGGGAGGTCAAATGCATTTGATTCATGCAAATTGCATTACTGGAAGTCATGAAACTCTCAATGAAAACAACTTCAATGTCATCCCATTGAGTTTTTCACGTTAATTCAGTTGATCCAGTCAATTATTTTTATTCAGACCCAATTGCCATGTGATTTATTACCGTAATAAAGACCCCGTTGAGTCCAAGGTGTGTCAATGACCTTTTGTCGCACAACATTTTGATGATGATTTCCCATAAATCGCCATTTCCTCTAAAATAATTAACTACACTCTCCAAATGAAAAGAAATCTGATGATTTTTTCGTGAGTCAATGAAAATTTTCCCGGACTAACGGTTTTTAATTAATTAATTAATTAATCAATGAAGATTAATATGAGAGATCCCGTATTTCTTTATTGATTATTGAAGAATTTTATTTCATAAATATTTGAAATAATTTAAAATAATTATCTATTATTCTCGGGCCCCTGGTACACTGGGATCAGCTGTCGATTACGATTACTCGATGAGTCATTCGGGTTTAAAGTGTATCAATGACTAACGCACCCGCCCTTTTTTGATTCTGACCCTCTGGGAGAAGATTTTCACCGGTGGGTGGGGGGGGGTTAAAGCTCGAGGGCTTATTCATACCAATCCGCGTGTGTATGACGTGTTTTTACCCCCCCATCATTGTTTCCCTCTTCGTCACACTGACAAAACGATGAATGATGCCCCAACCAGAACAGAAGTCGGTAACTACAATGGATCCTCCAAAACCACTTCCAACTATTTCTCTGTACCCTGTCTCCAACACTCGCCCCATATGCTCACTCCATCAAATGAAGAGACTATTTTCATGAGAACTTGTCGTTTTTTTAATGAAAGAAGACATTTAAGGATGCGACCTAATTAAAATTATAATTGAATTACTCAATCAGATGATCTATTCGAATTCAATATTTTTAATTGTCGATTAATCTCGCGAACTATTGGTTTTAGAGAGGAACACATGGGAATCTTTTTTCACGGAAATTTAGTTGACTGAAAAAAAGTCCTTTGACACTTTCTCCTGAAATCGACGGTTTTCGAGATAAATCGATGATTATCGGAATGTTTCATTTGATGAAGAGCAAAAAGTCGATCTGTTCAGGAGGAGAGTTTTCTGAGAATATCTTTTGATCTAACACGGATACAGAAAATTTCTTCCAGACATTTTTTGTAGAATGAAAAAATACCTGTAAGAAAGGTTCTGTCAAAAATTGTCGTATCTCCCTCAGGTTCAGTGCTATTCTCCGATAATGCATTCAAAATCAAAATCATCAATTTCTCGGGTTCCAATTCCCGGATTAAATCCGCAAAAATTTCTGCACCGACGTCTGCAAAAATTTTCCATCTGTCCGCGAAAAATTGAGATGCAATAATTCAGTTGCAGGGTACAGTAGAAGCGTTCTCCCGCATTGAATAACGTCGTAGAACTGGACGTTGTGCGACTTTCACTCTGACTCACCCATGCCAACGACCAATCTCTGGCATTTTGATTCACTTGCTTCCATCCTAAGCAACAAATAA